TTTTGCCGGAGGGGACGAAGCTCGAGGCCTCCACCAGAAGGAGACCAGAGGGAGCGGCGGCGCCCCGTCGGAAACGTCCGCGGGGGCCCGGACGGCTCCGGACGAAGAAGACGCGGCCGCGGCCCCGGCTCCACCGTCTCCGGCGCTGTTGACGCGCCTGGGGGCGCGAGCGGTCGGCGTACTAGGCGCGAGGCCCGTGGCTCGTCAGGAATGCCCTCAGCACCGGTATGAAGGTAGAAGCGAACAGGGTACCAAAATAGTAGGCATAACAACTGCAAGTCTGGATTTACAAATATAAGCGTCAATCGGCACTCATCGAGAAAAAACTCCTCCCCGATTGCCTCCAATGCTTCGGTATCTGGATCGAAGAAGGGACTAAACATCGGCGAAACACCGAGAGAACGCAAGGTCGGAAAAACGTTGTAATAGCCTCTTTCTTGTTCCAAAAATAGTCGTCGGGCACCCGGCGGACTTCTATAGCCAGATGTGTTCGCTATAGTAGAAGTTTCAGACTCTTTTTCTTGCTTCACACTGCCTTTGCTTGTCTTCTCCTGATTATTTGCTTCTTTACTTTTACTTCGTGCATTCACAGTACTACCGGGCACATCTACTTCAGGGCCCAGGTCAAATGTTTTCTGGAATTCCAGCGCTTTCCCCAATAGATTCGACGCCGCATTGTCCTCACCAGCGCGTCTCAACTTTGCCGCTAGTTTATTCACATAATCTGCTCTCGACACGTCTACGCGAAGCATTGTGTGAGACAATTTATCGTAATCCTCGATTCTCGTGGCACCACAAAACAAGACCATAGACTCCGGCCGTCGCATATTCCTCAAAAAGTGAGGCGCTGTCCAAGGAGGTAGCTCGCCCTTACTTAAGGCGCCAACTCTTGCAACTAGAGACTCTTCGGGCAGAAGCGGATTATCTACTTGGAACAGAAGATTGAGCTTCATGCCCCAACCGGTGACAGAACGCAAGTCTGGGATCCAAGAAGCGTGCGGCGCTTCCTCCCGGATCTCTTGCTCTCGTTTTGAGGGTTGTTGACGTAGTGGTTGCGAGGGCTGTTGACGTGGTTGTGCTTGAGCTTGAGCCTCTGCAAGTTTACGCCCCGCTTGATGATCTTCATCTTCGCCTTGAAGATGCTCTTTGGCAACAACAGCAGCGTCAACTTCATCTAAAAAAGCATGCATCTTCGCAAAGCTCGATCTCGCAACAAGTAATTGCTTACACAAGTCGTGAGCACCTTCTGGCAGTTTCTCTATCGTTTCCGGGTCGTGGGACTCCAAGAGGCGAGTGAGTTTGCGTAGTTTCTGGACTCGAGTATCAACTGGCTCAATATCATGATCAGCACTACTACTAGGTACAACACTTCCGCCAGGTTCTACTGATGTCTTGTTGCCTGTTCTCTGAAATAGGCCCTCTGGATCTGGAAACCAATTAGCAGGCCGTTCCAAGGCATCCACAGAGGTTCCAAAGTCTGGCGGCGGTCCTTCTGCAGCACAGGCCAAAATCGTAGATTTCAACTCGTGCTGCAATCGTGCCACAGCCGAGCACTCTTGTATCTCACCCTTCAGCTGTTTTGTTTTCTCTAGAAGGTGAGAGCCACGTTGTATCTGCTCGTCTAGAAGCGCATTTGCTCGCTGTGGTCGTTCTTCTGCAGCATCAGCTGAATGAGCTCCTTGACGAACCGCAGAAGACACCAAGGATAACGCGGTTTTAGTCACCAGCGATGCTGACACTTGCTTCAAATTCTTCACGTTGTGAACCAGGTTGTTATGCACCTCCGGAGGAAACAGGTTGTTATGCCCAGCCGCTCTTCCACAGACTTCATTTAGAGGTTGAGCGTTGGCATCTCTAGGTCGCATATCTATGGCTTTCCTACTTGAGATAGCCATAGAGACGCGCATAGAGATGTCAACTCCCAAGCCTTAATTCATGCTCCAAGGCTTTGACATTTTCTTCCACCTTCTTCGTGCGTCTTACGAGTTCTCCATAGTTGCCACGAACGTCCTCGTCTAGGGAAAGGCGCTGCTGCAAATACCAATCGGCTTGGACCTTATGGTAATCAGCCTTTGATGAAGTGGTGGTAGTTGTAGCTTGTCCAAGATCTTTGGGTTTGTTTGCCATCAAAGCTTTGCCGATATTGCTGCGCATTTTCGGAACTGGAATTTCCTTTTTAGGGTCTTCCTTGGGGTCTTTCTTCGATGAAGAATCGGTGAAAGAAGAAGAAGAAGTACTGGTAGTGGTATTTTCTGTAGATTTTGGTGTAGGACTTTTTGTAGCTGTTCCTCCTACTCTTGGTTCTGGCTGAAACTTTGGAGCAATGGGTGATCTACACGTCTGATGATCTCCTAAAGAAGAGGAAGCCGCTTGATCTTTCCCAGCAGAACAAGCAGAAGAGGCAGACGCAGAAGTAGACTCTGCATGATAAACCGAAGCATTTAAGCTATTAGCCGCTTCTTGTTGCTTACGAATCAAGTTGGAAACGAAGGTTCGTACAGCATGAAGTTCCTCCGCAGCATCCTTCGCCTCGAAGTCTTCTCGAATGTCCTTGTCCATCATGGCGTCAACCTTCGCTTGTTCCAGCGTAGCATTCACCGCCACCACAGGAGAAGCGTCGCAGGAGAAGCGTTTCATCTCAACATCTCCATGCACATCAACCTCTCCACCATCCACAGCCATGGTCTCCTCATGCTCATCAACAACAGTCGTTTCCCCAAAACCACCACCAGCACTCGCTGCGCATCCACCCTTCGTTCCCTGACAAGCAGCAAGCAATGTGTGTACCGCTGTGGTTGCTTCTTCTTCTCCGGGTAGTCGGTCTCCTGCGCAGGAGCTTTCTACGCGGTCTTCTAGTGCGTCTTCAATCCGAGAAGAATCAAGCATGACTACAGCAGGTTGTGCAGAAGGACCTACTGCTACTTCAGGAGCTCCTGTGGTATTCCTCATATTGGAGGTTACTTCAGGAGCTCCTGCTGTGGTAATCTTGCTCATATTGGAGGTACAACAACTAGTAGCTGTAATATTTCTAGTCTGCATGATCTCCTGTTCTTCCTGTGGAGGTTCCTCACCGATCATAGTCATCTTCTCAGCCAGCAAACTGAGTAAACGTGCTGCGTCCACGTTTCCATCCTGTCGCAGACTTGTTGAGAACAATTTGGGTCCCAGATCTGAGGCTTCATCCAAAAGAGACACCAGCATTTCTGACCGCATTTCGTCTAGAAATCTCACCACTGCGTCGAGAAACTGACTCACTTTTTCCTGCACTTCGCCTTTCCTTTCCCCGTGATGCAGCAAGTACGGCGTTACAAGTTTGACCACCTCATTGTCCAAGCATTTTTGGCCACAGTTTGCTGAAGTGATCACTTGCTTACTATCCCTAGCTAGGATGATGTCAAAACACTCGGAAACAGGAGTGAGTGGTTGCTTGCTGATCCTGCTTCTGATTGTTGCGTAGGATGCGGGTAAAGCGGGTAGACGATGTTGCTCTTGAAGTGGGGAAGCTTGTTGGGCACCTTGAGAAGGACCACTTGCTGGTATATGAGGTGGAAGATCTAGTAGGATACTTGTCGTGGCAACTTCTACTTCATCGACATCACTATGTTGACCCTGTTGACCATTTTTCATACTACGCGGCTTTGGCAATACAATCTCCACTGTCTCAAATTTTGTAGCTTGTCCTTGGTCACTCGCAAACGGTTCTTCCCCAGATGCCACAGCAGAGGACCATTCTTCAAGAAGTTGTCGTCCTTCCCCTATAGAAACATCAGTCGAACCGACTCGTCGTCTTTTCACTGGTACCGAAACTTGACGTGGTGTGGCAGCACTCACTGTCGAAAGAATATCTAGGGGAGCAGTACTAGTTGTAGGAGAAGAGCTAATATCTTCTGTAGAAGTCATCTCACGAGTTGTACTAGGATCTGCTGCTGCTGCTGCTGTTGCGGTGTCGACATTTGCAGTGTTCTCAGCAGAGGTAGGACTAGAAGCGCGCTCCTGTCCTTGATCAACATTCTTTTTTGCCGCTGTTTTTTGCTCGTTTTGCCGCTGATGCTGAAAATGGTCATACTCTAAAATCAAATCGCTTCCAACACTTCGCATGGCGTCTAATTCATCATCTTGAATCCTCCCGATTTCCACTGCTTTCTGCTGTATCTTCAGGTTTTTCTCCGTCACCATGCGAAATTTCACTGTCAAATCAGCTTTCCAGCTTTGAGATTGGATAGAAACGACCCTTTGAACTTCGTTTTTGAAGCGATATTGCATCTCTGCAGCAGCACTACGGACTTCTCCGGCAGCACGACGTAATTGGGCGTTTGGCGTAGCTGGCTTTGGCGTAGCTAGTTTTTGCGGTTGTGCTGTCGTCCTAAACGCCCGCAAAGGCCTGGGCGGACCTTGGGGGACTGGTGTCTCAAGGTCCGCTTTGCTGCCAGGAGGAAAAGGAGGCGGCGGGCCAAGTTTGGACAAGTTCGGAGTGTAGAAGCAAGAGCCCTTAGTCGGACAAGAAGTCTGTGTAGAAGCGCTAACCTTCTGAGGAACCACTCCACGCCTACCATCCTCAAGGTTTCCATCCTTCGGTGCTAACATGTGAGGCTGACCGTGAACTTGTGTAGTAGCAATAGTGCTAGCAGTTCCGTCTGAAAATTTAGTTTCCAAGGCCATCTGTGTCTTGTTTTGCTCTATCACCCTAAAATCATCTATCACCCTAAAAGCGAATGGATAGCGGATTTTGTTCTGGACTGCCAAAATGTGGAGGACTTGTGGTGTCACATTCGGAAAAACCTCCGACAGATAATGTTCAAAATGCGCATGACAGCCAGCTTTTAGCAAAGATTTGCGCTGACTCGGCAAAGCGTGGGTGGACTGATCGCGCGTAGAGGTAGTTCTTGCAATGAGTATGAGATCTTCTTCGTCCATGCTCAGCACTTCGTGTTGGTATCGTGCCAAAATGTAGGCGATAATCGTGCCAAAAATCCCACCGAGGATGCTGTCTTCGTACAATGGTAAGGAAAGTTTCACACTGGGAATACACCCTGCGCGCATGCGTTCTTCTCTCATCTGCGTTCGTGGACCAGTAGCCTTGCCCTCTATCTACTTTTTAGATAGAGCTTTTATGCATCTCGGTTCCCTCATCTCGAACCCTTTCCCATGAAATACAAGAGGAAAGGGCGTCGAGATGCTGAGAAAGATGGATAAAATCTGACCTTAGCTATCATTCCCGAAGATGTTGCTGTATTCATTTGTGCTAAAACTTGAGCTTTTTGAAATAATTCTGCTTCTTCCATATCGTTTCTAGGCTCGACGCTAAAGTTCAAAGACTCCCGATCACCAGCGATGACCTCCCGAGGATCCAAAAGTCGTTTTTTCACCGCGTCTATGCCCATTTGTTCGAGTGCGACTTTGAATTCTAACAGCATCGGTGTGGTGTCTAGACGGGCGATTTGCTTTTCTGCGAAATGCCGCAATTTGAAGAGCCACTGTTCTTCGTCGGAAAGGTTGACAAGCTTGTCTGTAGTACTAGTGGAGCTGTCGGAACTAGAAGTTGTAGTTTTGCCAACAGCAGTGCTAGAACCTCCACCTGCAGATGAAGCACCATCCGACATTTTAGTAGTCCCATTTTCACCAGGTCTGTGCATTACCTCAATCGTGGCATTGCCTGCCTTAAGCTTATGTGTCTTAGGACGCACATCGCCTTTTGCAGTCATCGAGGCAGCTCGCTCCCCATCTTGACCATCTTGACCACCGCCTGGACCTTGACCTGGTCCGAAGACTTTAGGCAGTCCCACAGGCGAAGGGCCACTGGTTCTTCCGTCCTGAGCGTTCTTATCTGTACCAGAGGACTTTGAAGAGCGATAGGACGTATGATGTGAAGGCTTTGTCTTTAGCGTAGACGTGGTAACCGTACTGCTAACAGCTGTAGAGGAAATTGCACGTGCTGCACTTGGATCAACATCTTGAACCTCTTGCTGTGCTGTTGGACTGACACTCCGATTCCGTGGTTGAGCTTTTTCATCTTCCCCTTCATCCAAACCCTCATCCAAAACCAAAGGTTGCACAATGTTCTTGATCGGAAGCATTCGTTCAAATAAAACGAAGTTTCTGGCATGCTCGTAGTTGCACAGTCGCACTCGTAAGGCACGCTTCTTGGTTTCTTCATCGAGTTTTGCAGAAAAGGTACTAGTACTACCTCCAGCATCTTTTTCTTTATTCCCTATCTCGCCATCAAAAAACAATCGCATTCCATCCCCTTCAGTATAAGGTGGTGGACGTTGATGTTGATGATGTCCTCGTCCTCTGTGAGATTGAACCTGATGCTGCGTCCCTGGGGAAGCAGATAATTGTGCAAATTTCCCCAAAAATCTGTCCATCGAGATCCGATCTCGTGCAGCTCCTGCTTTTGGACTTTCTCGTTGGTCTCCAGGACCATGACCATTACTAATAGGACCACTAGAACTAGCACCAGTGCCTCCACTTCCAGGTGCCGAAGGTACAGCAATTTGTTCGGCGTGCTCCTTAAAACCAGAAAAGAGCCAATTCTCGACCTCGGAAATCGAACTAAAGAAACCACCAGTGATGCGAAAAGCAGACTTTAGAGTGTTCCCATTGTCATGAGATTTAGGACCGGATAAGAGGTCGAGGTCGCCTTTTCGTCCTGCCGGAAACTGGTGGGTTGAGAGAGTTGAGGTCATCGGGGTCCCATTGTCATGAGATTTAGGACCGGATAAGAGGTCGTCTGTCGTTGCATCTGTGGAAACAGAAGCTGCGCCCTCCTCCGACATCAAGGCATCGGTCTCCACCGCTTCCGCAATCAAACTCTGATAAGCGGGTTTGAACTCGATTTCAACACTTGGCGAAGATTTATACTTGACCGTATATTAAAGGTTGCAGCACCATTACATACATTCTTCAGAACAACATCCCTCACCTTTTTCCTACTGGAAAAACTACAGTGAGGAGGGGGATGGTTGTGGTTGTGGGGGATGTAATTGGTCAACCCTTAAGTATAGTACCGCGACAGAACCCTCGTAGTGGGTCCTTCCAAGGTATCGCTGTAGAGTAAGTCATCACTGGGCAAAACCACTTCTGGCGTTGGAGGCGGTGTCGTGGAGTCCGTGGTTGATGGCGATGGCGATACCTCTTCTCTTTCAAGAACACCTCTTCTCTGTTCCACCTCTGATTTAACATCAGCCTTCTCATCGCTTTTTTTACCGTCACCCGAAGACGATCCTGCACCAGCACCAGCCACAATTGCTGCACCGGCACCCGCCACTACTGCTGTTGCCGTCGTTTCATCTAGTTCCCCTTTGGCTGCCTTAGCAAGAGTTTTCTCAAAATCTTGTGGAGAGAGTGGCTGAACACCAACTTTCAAGCCCGCATCCCTCAACACCTGCGCCGCCCGCGCAGCAGATTTGTTATCATTCGCCAGGATGACTGATATACTACCTTGCTGTTGCAGCTGTTCCTGTTCAGAAGATGATGAGTTTTTCGGCAGAGAAGTTGTACTAGAGAAGTGCTTTAAATGTTCTTTCATAGCGTCTTGGACAAGAAAAGGCGCGCCTCGTACGAATTCGCCTTCTTGAATAGACGCACCACTGTCCATAGGAAGTTTCAGAGTCCCCGTTAACTGCTCTACTTGCGGCACCGACTGTGGTGTCTTTCGTACCTCATCGTCTAGTTGTCCTGCCGTCTTCAACATCAAAGCCCGACTCGCGTGTACTTGCGACGAGAACTCTTCTATCATGAAAGCAGAAGTACTCGGCAAGCGTGCCCTCTTGTCAGTCAGGGATTCCACCAGCATGTCCGTGAACGGCCTCTTCATCTCTGCGCGCAAACGAAGATTTTCCTCGAGATAAGAAAGAGCTTGTTCCTGGTCACAACCACAAGTAGTTCTTCTACAAGAAGCACAAGCACTCCTTCTATGTTGACCACTACGCTGAAGGTCTCGTTCTTGATCACGACCGTCCTCCATTAGCTCCTGTTCTGCTTGATTAGCAGGTCGTGCTTGCCCTTCGCCGGTTGTACTGGAGGGATGTGGTACTAGTTGTTCTTTTCCATAGCCTGTCGTCAGATCAAAGTTTGACATCCGGTAATTTGGCGTAGTCAAATACCTTCCTGCAGATGAGAAGTTCTTCTTCCGAAGTACATCTTCTTCAGCTAGAAGCACGCTTCTTGTGGTTTCTGTAGTTGGAGGCGCATGTGCAGCCACTTCTTCAGTAGTTTCGTCTCGTCCTTCTTCACTACTAGTTTTTGCCATCTTCATGTTCTTCCCCGATGAGGAAGTAGAACTAGAAGGTCCATCTTTCCGTATTTCCTTTCCCCTCTTCATTAGTCTCGCATGTTCTAACGCGACCTCCGGTGCCTGCATCATATCCGCTGTATACTCATGAGGCAATTTAGCACGCATGAACCTAATCTCCCAGTCAAATTCAGGTTCCCCAGCTACTTCCAAAGGCTCCCACGGATCGAAGCCTAGACCTTCCGCTACTGCTGCTAAGAACCAGTCCTGATACTCGTGCTTCTGCCTATAAATCGAATCAATGCCTTGCCACGTAGCACGAACGGAGCGCTGATCTAGCGGGATGCCGTGCACAGGTTAACGCTAGTCAATCACCATCCCCAGCTTGTTGAATCTCTATGGCTTTTTCTTCGTGCCCCCTTACTTCAACAACTTCCCCCTTAAGCTTAACATCTAAGAAGAAGAATTCACGACTCAGCATAGTTAGTCCACATGAGATAGTCTAACTGAGGACTACTTAGCCTTAAATCGAACCACCAACTGATTCGGCATCTAGGACCGGTGTCCATTGAGCGTGAAGGCCGAAATGTGTTAAAACGAACAGTAGAAACTTCGGATGCGCCGAGACTTCCACCATTCTCGCTAGCAAGTCGTTCTTGGGCAGTGGCCGTTTGTATCGCTTAATCAAGTGTATACGGCCAGGGACGAAGAAGGCTTGACGAGGAGAGGAGTTCGGTGGAGAGGAGTTCTTAGACGAAGATGTTTCTCCTGTCGGTGCTGTAGATCCTGTACTTAGAGCTACCGCGTCACATCCCTGAGCCCATCCCTGGGCCCTTTTTCTACTTGAAAAAGAGGCCAAGGATGATGTTGAGGATGCTCTCTTGGTCGCCTTAATGTACTCGGTTTTGAACCAGCTTTAATATCCCCTCCTTTACTACTCGCGAGTGCTACCAAAGCTTGTTTCATCTTTTTTTTCGCATCGGCTCTGTCCAACATTCTTGGTACCCACAACCCGGCGAGTTCTATCACAATCGCGTTTTCTTCTTCACGAAGTCCATAAGCCCAATGTGCCAGACAGTGAAATTCTGCTTCTCCGAGAAAAGGAATATTGAAAACGTTGCCATCCACCACAGGTGGACGTCCGTTTGAGCTTGACAACAACGACACCAGTCCAGATTCTTTTAATCGATCAGTAGCGAAAATTCGATGTAGCATTGGATAGCCAAAGTTTTGCCGGAAATATTAGAGCTATCGCCCCTTTGCTGATCGTCTTGAGAGCATGATCGTCCCTGGTGGACCTTCTCATTTCCCCTTAGGAAAACTATAAAGGAACGAATGGATGCTGCTGAGGACGATGTATCTGCGGTAGCCTTAAAAATAACGTCGCACACCAATATCGGCTCCCACTTCCACGTGGGCTTTGTTCATGAAACTCTGCAGTAATTCCACTTGACTCATCTTCCTGTGCGTCACATCCAACAACGGGCCTAAAGTTATAGGTCGCACCCGACATTAGATGACCCAAAGGTAATTCATCTTTCAGCTGCATCCTTCTTGAGCATTTTCAGGTACTACTTAAGGAACACGGTGGATGCAGTGAAGAAAGATAAACCACCTACTTACAGCCTTAACAATACCCTAGGTTTTGCATCAGTTGAGGATCCGCAGCTAGTCTTCGAACATGGAGAATCGTATCTCGGACGGACTCCAAAGCAGGGTGTTCGTCTTGGGCTAAAACCTCTAGAACAGAGAATCGCGATGTCCACTTTCGGCGCAAAACGAAAATACGAGAGTCCTCACGAAGAAGTGGCCCACCCTCACGAAGAAGTGGCCCACAGCCTACGGACGTGGAAAAGAACTTCTGTTCTTTACTTTTTGACGCGGAGACAGAGTTTAGAGCTTGAAGTTGTATCCTAGATGACGCCTTTTGTGAGACAAGTATCCCGTTACAAAAAAAGCCTCTCTAGGACGGATGCCTCTTTGGATATGTTGGTGGAGCATACCTAACTAGAAAAAACAAAAACCGAGAAAAGAAAAGTCAGGCAGGTACTTATCTACTACTAAATAAGCGCCGGCGCTGTCGTGGTCCTGTCAGCCCCAGAGGGTTTATTACAAGCCTTAAATCCCTCATCTTTGCCGAAAAGACCTGTTCGTCTGCTCTGCTCACACCTGCAGCAGTAG